TTTGTTTGTTGTATATAGGTTTGGGTAACGAATATTGAGATTTTGCATTGTTGGAAGATTATTTGTTAGAATTTTAAAAAGTTAAAGTTTAGTTACTGTATAATCATTTAAAGCTACTATAGTTTTAAAATTTTGGAATTTAATAAAAAATTTATTTTATTTTATTTAATCAGAATTAGTATATAACGCATTCATTGGCTAAAAAGCATTTATATCCCAAATTGGGCGCATTTGAAGAAGTAATTTGAAGCACACTAGTTGTTTTTTTTCTATTAAAATCAATGTTTTGGCAAATAAATTTAGGTATTTCTTAATTAATTAAAAGAATATATAATACAGGAATAATACGAACATTTTGCTACAAGTCTGATAATTAGTTTGATTTTACTATCTTACTACATCCAACCAATTAGTATTACGAGAACGAACAGATATGATAACGTCAAAACAGAATGTCCACCACCTAGCACTTTTCATAAAGATAATAATCTAAATCTTTCGACACTCTATTCCGTCCTTCTTTGGATCTGCTGCTAATACACAGAAAAAACCCAACTTTTGCATTTCAGAAAATATTTCAGTTTTATCTAATTCTTTTAAATTAACACAACTTAGTTTCCCCGTCTTTCCGGTTACTTCTTTTTCACTAATTTCTGCCTCTACTTTAGAGCCAGCATTAAAGGCAGAATTACGACAAATTACATTTTCAGAATAGATAACATATTTTGCAGAATCGTCCTCTTTGACAAATTGTTCTAAACGTTGTATTGCTTGATGTCTTTCTGAAGACGCGGAATTTGTTGAAGATTGTTGATTTGAGGTGAACATGACTGTTTAATTAAAATTATACAATTATGAAACTTGTATTTATATATATACTGTAGACAAGGTGACATCATTGATTTGCATCGACACATACGTCATATTTTTGTCATTTAAGTAAAACGCTTATGTGTGTGTGGTTGGCGTAGATTATCTCACATGAATTGGCATTTTTAGTACATTCCGTCACGAACTTGCCAGAATCATGAATAGGTAGAAATTTTCACATGAATGTAGCTTATTGGTATCGGTATGTCTATCACATCATTTGGAAACTTGCTTTTATGTGAAAATTGTATGGACTTAAGGGGAATTAATTCACCCTAATGGAATTTGCAACAATAATAAATACTGTTCGTAAGATTTTGCAAGAAAAAAAAAAAATTTTCTACGTAAATAATCGGTAGAAATGTCATCTCAAGAAAGTGGATGCAATTGTGGTGAATCTTGTAAATGTGGTTCAACGTGCAATTGCGGTACCAAAACCAATACATCTGAAACTACTTCTACTACTAAACGAGCTTTTGTTGTCAGACAAAACAATATCAATGAGTATGTATCTTATGATAATTTGAAAGAAAAATTATCATTTTTAACAATATGAATTTTTTTAAACGTAGATCTTTCTTGTTCAAAGAAAACTATTCACGCTATATAACTGCGGCAAAGAATTATCGGTGTGTTTGAAATAGATGATATAAAATAAATGTAAATTAATCTTTATTTTTTCTCAATTGACCATACTTTATTCTTCACTTTAAATTATGGGGTCTTCTTCGAAATGGTGTACTAATGTACTGTATTTATGTATTTTTTTTAAATATATAATTTAACTGTTCGATTATAAATAAAGTTTGTTATGGAGAAGAGCTAGGTGAATAAATAAAAGCTATTTTAACAAGCATTTGTTATCACAATTTTTTTCTTTTTTCTATTGGTCGCTAATTGTGTACTGTACTAATGTTCTGGTGACTCAAAATGTATATTTTTACAATAAAGTAGTACGATAAATAGTTGAGCTGCAAACTCTGATATTAATAAGCTTTACCCAAAACGCATCCTTGAGTGATATTGATATATAAATTATCGAAACGGAAGAATACTTAGTAAATATGATATATTGATACGCAAAATAATAATATTTTATTTATTTGTTATGTGCACTAATAATTCACAAAGCCTTTTTTTTTCATATGAACATTTATTGCACACAAGCCACGTTTTAAGTAAAATATCATAACGAACAACTAACAAAGATAGCACGCAAGCTATGTAAATTTTTTTCTAGTGAGCAACTCTCGCTTCAGTACAGTATTGCAGTAATTTAACGATATACTGTATATAACGATAAAATGTTACAGTATAACAGATAATGGTAATGGTAATGACGTAATACAAATAAAAGGTATATCGTATGTAATGTTTAATATTTCAACATATCGATATAGTAAGGCAAATAATACAAATTAGGAATAGTCATTTAATCTTATAATCCTAACTCTAATGAGAAAAAAACCACCCATGTATTCATCCTAACCTTTAAAAATGTCCTATTTTAAAAAATTAATTTAAAGGCCAGTATTTGGTGGTTTTTTTTTTTCAACGTTAGTAGTATCGTAGTACTAAAAATCTGACAAGTAAATAACCACGTGATGGATTCTATATATGAAAGAAATCCCACAATTTTGGAAAATTATAAATATCACGCATTTCAGGTTTTGAAAAACTCATACTTACCTGCCAGGATACAACCATGATCAACAAGGTGGTTGTGTAGGCGGTGGCTACTGGCATTGCACTCAAGCTGGTGGCTGCTGTCTTGAACATCCTACGGGGTGTCTCAACTGGATAATTTTTTGCTGTTGGGGTGGTTCGTGGTTCGCCGCGAATTGCCCCTAATTTTATTATTTTTAGCGGGTTGGGAATGGAAAAAGGAAATACGTACAATATATTTTTTGATAAATTCGGGAATTTTATAAATACTGTAAATACGTGTATGTATAATAAATAAATATATTTATATACGTATAAATAAATATATAAATTATATATATAATATATATATATATATATGTCGATGTAGATATTTAGTAAGCTTTCCGATTCAATATTTAAAAATATATTTTATTTATCGTAAAAAGTACACGTTTGGTATACAGTATATATTATATTTATTATTAAATGTATAAAATTTTATTTGATCATTTTTTAAAAAAATATACATATTAATTTTATTTAAATTTAATAAAAAACCATTGTTTTATAAATCATGAAAGTATCTGAATGAAATTCCTGCTTAGGTTGATTTTTTGGTTCAACGTTTATATAAAACGTATCATTCTCGGACCAATTTGAAGTGACGGTGAAGCAAATGTTATCAAAATAAAGTAAAGCGGACTATTACAAATAAATATGATTAATAATAATTTACAGCATAGCATATGATTTATAATTCATTAGAAAAAAATTACTTACAACGCTCCAGACTAACTTAGCATTTGAGCCTGGAGGTATTCGCCATAACTGTACGAAAGCTTTGGCTATAATTATTAAAAATAACGGATCAAAGTTAGTAATCATTCATCATTCTTGAATATTTTTAACCTATGACCACATTAAAATATTTTATTATTGGTTTACAAAACTTACTATTTCCATCATACCCAATAAAACTCCATTTAATACATAAATCTGAACCAATAGGGTACCAACCTTGAGTAGGTGAATATATTTCAACAGAATTTTCAAATGCTTGAATCTCAACGATTGAATAATGTATGTTGATTGTTAAAAAAATTATTACGAGTAGAAGGAAAGTGGACGTTCTCATTTTTTTTATTATTATTATTTTTTTTAATAAAAGAGAAAATTTTTTTAAAAATTTCTTAGTTGTATATGATATATCTAATAAATTATAATTTTGAAGTTCAAATAAAAGATTCGTTCTCTTGATATAAAGCGAAACAAGACGGAAATGCAAAGAATTTATATATTTTGGTAATGATGAAGGCTTAACTTTTCTTGTTCGTTCGCATGAACTTTACCGTGAGGTAAATAGTACCACACTACGCATAAAAACTTCACAGCCGCGTTCTTTTAACGAGACAATTGATTTTAACGTTCCTCACTTCGTTTTTAATATATTATAAATTTCGATGTTTTTTTATTGCGCTTTTTTTTTAGTACTTAGCGGTGGCTAACGAATATTTGTTTTTGTTTATATGTGGCTCGGATATAACTTTAAACTTAAACAGAGCTAAGGCATTACCATTTCTCGATCATTTAATCGGTTCACCTAATGTTTTTGTTTATCTTTCTTTAAAATTTTTTTTTTCTTGTGAATATATTTTTTATTAATTAATTAATTATATAATATAGAAATTATCAAATACGTACACATAAACTAATTTAGCTGACAAGCTTAATGTGCCAAGATTAGTCTGAAACTTCTTTAGTGACACGTTTCGTATTTTCTGTACGACGGCTGTGCCATTCTTCACAACTAGACCTATCAGAACACTGTGGCCCATATGCTCGAATTTATTATTCCACAAATCTCAATGCCTAATAATATTTTTCACATCACTTAAAACGAGGCGTGTCGAATTTATTATAAACGATGGACTATCTTGATTAACTATACTTACAATAAATTACAATAAATTACAATAAATAAATGGATAAAATATAATAATTTACATTATTTGTTTGTTATATAATAATATAATTTATTATTATAAGGTCAAAAGTCACGGCTGTTTAATTTTATATAAAATAATAACAAACCTTCATGCATTTTTTGAACAATAAATATAAATTAGATTATTATAAATTATTAAATTGTACGAAACAAGCAAATACTTTTGAAAATGCACGATCAATTGGTAAACATGGATCGAAGAGGCTCGAGACTGTGACTTTTCGTTTTTTTATTGTGACTTTTTGTTTTGTTGATTATGGCTATGTACTGTACTTAGCCATAGGTATGAGAATTGATAACTCGAGAAAAACAGGAAAAGCAGGACAAAGCCACCACGCTAATATTTTAAGATTGATAATTATTCGATCATGTTAATTTGTATCCATTCGTTCATTTGTGTGTATGCGAGTAATAGATCAATGTTTTGTGATAAATAATTTTGAAAAGAAACATCGATCAAACAATATCACGAATCACGTGCAAAATATTTATTCTTACTTACCATCGCGAAAGGCTGATAAGAAAAATTACATGCATTGTTTTATTACAATTAAAACATTCTATAATCACTATGATAATGTTAAGCATTTAGTTTCTTTGAAAAGATAACTGGTCTCTTCTCACCATTCCCACATACAGTATGAAATATTCTGTGCTGCGCTCATCACTAAGTGAGTGGCATTCGGCAAACTTTTAATACCTATATAATATATTGCGGTTGCCGAAAATGCATATTTGAAAATTAAAAGTCCATAACTAAGCAAAGGACACGTAAAAATCTTATGATAAACAAAATATTCTATCAAAAACAAATAAAGTTGGAATCACGACCTATTGCAACTATTTGCATAAAAAATTAGAGGATAGCCAGAATGATTTTAACACGTTTTATGAATAAGAACATTTGTTTGTGTTTAATCGTGTGTAAAATATCAGAATTTTCGATTTGTTTTTAGTAAACAATGATTCATTTAAATTTTCGATCTGATATATTAAC